TTTGACAGACACACAATGATGGATTAAAATTGATCAGCTAAAGATTACAGTGCAGCAAGTGATCTGTCAGAAGGGCTGACTGTGTATTATTGCCATCTGAATAGTCCTTGGTTTCAGCTTGCTGGAATAGGCAAGGTCAAAACCAGTGATAGCAGTGAGGGAAGCAAGTCTTTCCAAGAGGTTGTCTGCCTGGTAATGCTTTGGTCACTCCATTTTATTCTACTGCAGCATGTCTGTCAGAACCATGACACTGCACAGGAACATTTGGTATATGAACAAATACAGGAAGGGGAGAGGCAACCTGCTGGGGACAATAATGAGAAATATTTCAGTAGAGAGGCGGAAATCAAGTCTGAGGCAAGCAGACAAATACATACCAATTAGTCTCCCACAATTAACAAAAGAGGAACAGTGAAGGTCTAAGAATTAAATTACCTATATGTCACCAAGTAAGGAAAAGGAAGATGCTCATTAGCTTTTAGAGACAATCAAGTTGGCACCTTCTTCCTTTTCCCATAGTAACCAATGGAATTTTAGTAATGGGCTTTCAGTTAGCTGATTTCAGTAGGATTAGGATCTAATTGATTACTTGAATTATATTATCTAATTTAATCTGTTCAGACTGGACAATTTGGAGGGAGAGCTGATTGGCTTTTGCACATTTTTGGGCACTCCCCATTGTGGTCTGATTCAAACCAGAATCTACAGGGAAGGCAGCTCAGTTATCATGGTCAGATCTGGGCTTGGTTCTGTGACCATGGATTAACATAACATTTAGGTAACCACTTTACACAAGTATAGATGGCATGGATTTGGAAACATTGCAGCACTGGTTGACTTTTCTTACAAATGTCTCATTCTGGTTTTTGTTTGTTTGTTTTTGTTTTTTTTAATACTACATATCTCTATTCCTCAGAAAAGTAAAATCCTGTCCCTCAATTCCACCTGTTACAATTGAATAGGTAGATTATGCTCCCTGTTTCAGAACAACTGATTTCTTTGCTAGTCCTTAGTTCCTCATCATAAACACTATTAATGTCAGGTGTTTCTTGCATTACGGTGTCTGTTGGTATTATTGTGTTCAGCTAAATATAGTTCTAATGGGATACTCAATACACTCCTGTAAACACACTCAATTTGCAAGATATTTACAATCTTGTTATTAATAAAAGAAATTAATTCTACTTTAGTCTCTTTGCAGCTGGGACATGTTTCTAAATCACTTAACTTTCACCTAATTAGTGATTAATTTTTATCTATCATACACTGAAATTTAGGTTTTAACTGTCAGTCTCCTTGTGGTCATTTGCTTGCACTCAATAAAAAAAATGTATTTGGGACAGTGTAGCTAATTCATTACTGTTTTTACTGGGAAAAAATATTTTGAAAAACCCTATTGAAAAGCTGTTGCTTCAATTGACTTCTGTAGGGACCACATGCAATGGTCACAAGAAGAAGAGGAGAATGCCAAGAAAAAAGCAACAGAGAACTCTCTTGTGAAAGTTCAATTGGATGACCAAGGTATGGTATAAAAGATTATAATGCTCTTTATTAAAACATTTGAAGATGCTGTAGAATTCAGGAATACCCTTTTTATTTCTACATTCTTTTGTCTACATTATTACATTTGTTTTTTGTTTTTTTCCCTTTGTTGCCCTAAAAAATCTCAGTGTGTTTTTCCTAGCAATACACTTATTTGAACAGTTTTCCCATTAGAGTGGCAGTAAACTCTACGTAAAACATGTGCATCAGTATGGTGCAGTTGTTCTGACCCATTTCACAGTCCTCCAGAATACAACTCCTACTACACAAGGCTTTTATAGCTTGGTTCTGGGGATGAAGATTCCCATGTACAAATACTTTTCAGTGATTTGGGAACTATTTAGAGAGCTTGTGTTTGTTCATTGCACTGTATTTCTGTTAAATGCCATGAAACTTGCAGTGGTCCCAGCTGGTTCAGCTTGCTGCCTTTGCCAGGCTGAGCTGGGAGTGCTTCAGGAATCCATGTGTTCACTTTGTGTGGAAGGTGTTCCAGTACATCCTGCACGGTCTGCTCTCTAAGGGATTAAAGAGTTTTGTGCCTGTCTTCAGAAGGAAATTTAATGTATTCTGGGTTTCTGAAGAGTGAATGCTCTAGTTTCAAACTGGCAAACTAAACCACAGACTAAACTCTAGGGTAGTTATGAATGCTAAAGCTGGAATATCAACTTGATAGTAGTACAGAAGACTGGATTCTTCATTTGTTGTTCTGTTAGAAGGATATTCTGAAAGTAGTTACTTGGATATCTTGTGCCTCAGTTTACTTAGCATGTCTTGGATCTGTCAGATAGTGTTGTTATGATCCTATGCCTTGGTGTAACTAAGGCACATGTTGGAGTTTATTTGAATTACCTGAGAATGTGCCTTGCATTGTGCCCTTCATCACTTTGAATACTCTGAGATTGTCAGCCTGCCTTTTTCTGTTACCTCTCACATTCTTTATCTACATACAGGAGTACAATGTTTGTTTTTCAAAAATTAAATTTAATATTGACTTGATTTGTATAAAAAGCTGAAAAAATCTCGTAATTGAAAAGTAAGCTGTGTGGCTGTGTGCTCATGAAACCTTGCATTCTTCATCTACAATCAATTAGAAGTTAGTTTGTGCTGGTGAGAAATTGAATAATCAGGCATTTGTCTACTGCCATGAAACACAAGAATCCAAGGATATTTCCTATGAATGCTCCTCTGTTTAGAATTTGAATAGGTGAGCATTGCTGGTAGTGTTCCTTCAGAAAGCTTCAGCTTCATTCTGCAAATGGAAGTACATTTTGGCCTATTTGTGTAAACAATGAACCAGACCAAGACTAATGAGCAGGTTATTTTGGGGCCTTGAAAAAACTACAGTAAGGGGGGAAAAAGATTTCAACAATGCTATTAGATTACTAAAGAAGAAGAGCTTTGGTGAGTCTTTTTAAAACAAGAGCAGTGTAACTGAATGAACTCATGATAGGAATTTGATTTACATATTAGATGTGCAGTTTCTTCTCAGGCATGTTTGCTAGCAGTTGAAGATCCTGTTATGGAGAAAATTCAATTGACAAAGTAAAGGTTTTTTTGGGGTTTTTTTGTTTGTGGGGGTTTTTTTTGTTGTTGTTGGTTCGTTAGTTGGTGGGTGTTTTCTTGTTTTTTCCCTTGTTTTTTTTTGGTGGGTTTTTTGGTTGTTGTTTTGGTTTGTTTTTGTTTAGTTGGGGCTTTTTTTTAGTTATGTAATGTTTACATGCTTTGGAATATTTTGTGGGTAGGCTAATTAAATACACAAAATAAAATAAAAATTCAATAATACTGCATGCATGTTATTACACAGAGATACAGGAATGACCTGTGCAACAATGCAAAGTGAAGTGTTCCTTCACTTAAACCCATGTCATTCCATACTAATATAGTTTGAAAAGCTGACTTTAGCTATTTCTTTCCTTCAGTTCTGAAATCTGGAAAACTTGATGTGAATTTAAGTACGAGGGTTCTGAGCAGACTTGTAGGAAAATTGTGACTATAACAAGGGGTGATAACAATTAAAGAATCTTTTGACTAGAAAGGTTTTGGTTTTTATACTGAAGCCGAGCAACCTATAAATGTGCAACTTAAACTATTGAAATCTGATATATATATGACCTCAGTCTGCTCTGAACTTTTAATATAAAACAGGCCTGTACAATTACAATTACATGGCTGGGTCCTGCCCTTTAATAATACAATTGGATGTATTAAATGTTAATTTTAAAAGATTATGCAGATTTCTAGGACAAGGCATTCTGCCACCTCCTTACCACTTCCCACTGCCTGTCTGTGCCTCTAATGATAATTCTCAGACTTGTTTATCTCTGAAAAGCTGTAGCAATTTAGGAAATAATATGTTAAGATTTAAAGAGAGTAGTAGAAGTGCACAGTACATTTACTCTGTACATTTATATTAAAATAATTAATATGTTGGTGTGAGTTAGAACAAAATAGGAAAGTCAGCACATTATATGAGGTACACTTTTGCAGCAAGAGATGTCAGGGGTAGCAAGATAGTTCTGCTAATGCTTTGGAAATAAGGAGGAAAAACAAGAAAAAAAATGTTTGTTACTTAGGAGGCATAAGGAAGGGAAAACCATCAACAAAAGGGACATTGAAAAGCTGTAATTCTTATCTTTTTATCAGCCTTCCTTTGAAAGGGTTAGCTAGCTTCAGTCCAGTGACTAGCACAATTAGTGCTAGTGAGAAGGAGGAATGATTTTGTTCTTGAAGTGAGAAAGAGCAGGTTACAAAGTACGTCCATAGAGTACATGGATGAGTGGAAAAGGAGAAAAGAGAATATTTGCTTTTTTAAAAAGGAGGTGGGAAGAAAAGAAGAATCAGATAATTGGTTTTTGTTCCTGGAAAAATACTGGAAGAGTACATCCAGAGCTTGCAGACGTTGAGTTCAGAAGAACAAAGAAGATGAATACTGGCCAACAAATATTTTTTCAATAATAAATCGTGTAAAATCAAGCTAATTTCCTTCTTGGAAAAGGTTACAAGCCCTGGGGATAAGAGAAAAGCAGCAGATGTCCTGAAGTTTATCCTTAGTCAGCCTTCTGACTTGTTTTACTTGACATTTTCATAAGCAAGTTAGGCAAGTGAGAGCTAATGAAACTACTTTTGGGTGAATGAATGCCTAGAGAGATCTTTTCAGAATGGGAGGGTGTGCTGGGCAGAGGAGTGTTTTATTCTGTGTCCAGTTCTGCTTGGTATTTTCATTAGTGGCCTCGGGAAATTCGAGACTTGAAGATGATGTTAAGTGAAAACACGTTTTAAGTATGGTGAAGGACTGGATTAATATGCAGAAAGATGTGGACAAATGGTGGGAAAAAAAATGTAAAATATATAAATTTGCTAAAAATAAGTGCAGATTTCTTTGTTTCAGAATAATTCCTTATGAAAAAAACTAGGTTTTGGAACAATTGGCTTGGTAGTCATTTTGCAGAAGAAGATCTGAGAGTTGTGGTGAATCACTAGCTGAATCAGCAGTGTCATGCTGTTGCGAAATGGCAAGCTGGGAGTTATAAACAGGATTACAACCTAGAAGCCTCATAAAGTACTCCTTTTGCTCTGCAATGATAATGCCTTTGCCAGAAAGCAACACCCAGAAGTAGTAAATCAATTGGAGAGAATCTAGACAAGAAAAGTTGAAATTATCAGAAGTCTAAAAATCAAAAAGAAGATAGTTTTAGACAATCTAGAAAAGAGATTGTTTATGGAGGCATAGTAAAATACTTCAAATATGTAAATAGGTGTTGCAAAGAGAAAAGAGAGTAATCTTTGCTTTGTTTGCTTGATCCCTAGCTGGGACAAGAATTGCTCGACCTAATTGCAAGAAGGAAGTTCTTAAGTAGTGGAAAGCTGTAGAAAATTAAGGACTGTAATATATTACTGAAGAAAGTTGTATGTGAAAGGTGGTGTTTTAAGAATAAGTTGGACAGATTTTTGTGGAGAAGGGATATGAATTCCCTGACTGTGTGAAATCCCTTCCCGTCCTACTTTATGCCATTCTAACACACAGTCAGAATGCTTTGTGAATTAAAAGTGGACACAAAAGTCTGTTGAAGGACTCTGAAGTGTTTTGAAAATAAGAAAGCAAGTATGTTCCTTCTGTATTGTTGAATGCTTACTGTCTATTTGCTATGCAGTGGCATTTATCAGTCCAGCTCACTATTTTTTTAATAGGTGATGAGGTACCAACAAATTTGCAATTGATTACAGAATTTCATAAAGAATGAATGTAATTTCAATTTACTATTTCTTAAATAATTGAAAAGATGCATTGTTTTTGTAATTTGAGACCTGAAAGCTTGTCTAAGAATCTTCAGATTGCATATTTTGGTGGTGCTGTTCTGTGATGTCACTGCATTTTAAAAAATATGCTGTAAGCCTGTCTACCCTTTCCTAAGTGATATAAAATCTAATTAAACCTTCACAGGAGTTACTTTGAGCAGAAGTTAAGGTGAGACACAAAATCCATGTGTTTTAATTTAAATGTACAATGTGTGGAACTATGGATTTTTAAACTGTATATTTGAGGTCCAAATTATATGTTGCTTTAGAGTATTTTCTAGCTAAGCTCATATTCACCAGGGTTTTGTTCTGTTTTAATTTCAGATAAATATGAGAGAGAAGCCAGTAAATATTGGAATGAATTTTACAAGACACATAAAAATAACTTTTTCAAGGATCGCAATTGGCTGTTTCTGGAGTTTCCAGAAATTCTTCCAGAAAAAAGGAGACAAGAGTTCAAAACAGAAAAAATATCTTTGGAACACACAAAAATAAATAATGACAACAGCTTTTCACTCAAAAATGGAATGTTTGAAGAAGGAGAAAAATACTGGGAGAAAAATTATGGATCTGGTTCTATTGCTGTACAAGGATATGTATATAATAAAAATGAAGTGAAAGCTCTTACTGACAATCCTCAAGGTAAAAACTGTGGAGAAGAACTTGGCAAGGTAGAATCCTTCCCTGGCTGCGATGCCACTTACCGAATATTCGAGGTAATGCACTGCAGATGTTCTGCCCATCATACAGAATTCCACTTAATTACTCAAAAATCTGAGAAAGACCCTTACTAAGTATCAAGAAAGCAAGCCTTTGGAATTTTACCTACTACATTTGTTTATGGCAGAAACTTTCAGAGAAACCTAAATCTGGACTTGGTTTTCCCTCTAAAGTTTTTCCCAAATCAGAATAGGGCTAGATTGTCAGATTCCATTTTCATTGAAAGTCAGGTTTCTTATTTCCTAAGGAAAGGTATGAGTTTAAGTGCTTTGTCTCAAAGTGCAAGTACTTGCTACATTCTTCCCAAATGGTGAAATTGGACCAGAATATTGCATTTTCTTATGCAGTTTGGGAGACAGATTCTCTACATTTTAGAAAGATGTTAGGGAGAAACCAAATTATGTAAATGATTTGAGATTTGTGGTATTAGCTGATTATACCTTTTCTGTCCAACATACCTTCAAATCTAATGGGTCCTACTGGCCAACTAAATTAAGACAAAAATAACAAAAAAAGGTTTTATTTGCTCATTTATTTTAACTTTATCTTTCTCTTCTGATTTTAGGTTGGTTGTGGAGCTGGAAACAGTGTCTTTCCTATTCTGAAAGTTCTATGGTAAATAGTGTTGGATTTCCAAATATGAATGTTGTATTCAATCTTCATTTTCACCAAATGTTGGTGCTGGATCAGTGCTGCACGAAATATTGAGTGAACCCTTTTACCATGCTAAGATTCTTAGTGTGTCAAACCACAAATAGTATTGGTAGCATCAGTATAGGATACTCCTCATATTGCTCCACCAGGTCTTGGGGGATATTACTTGATGACAAAGTTTGTCTTTGGGTGCATTCAGGCTGAGTTCTTGTAGTTAATCAGGCAGGTGAAATATTCTCTTGTCTTACAGTTCACTGTCAAGTTACCAGGTATCTCTTCAAAAGGCCAAAATTATAGAGACCATAGATAATGGCATGTGGTCTACTAGAAAGAAGTTTTATTTTTTCTGAATTGGCTGGTATATTTCTTACATTACTTGTGGTTTTAGTGTCAAGACACAAGTCCTGTATCACATTACTTAATTCATTGAAACATCTTAATCCACTTAGTTTCCAGTTTTAGAAAAATCTGTTATGACAGCTTGTCTTCCCATCCGTGTAGGCAAGAAGGTTTTATTGGAAAGGCTATGTATGTTTCAAGGGTTGAAATAGATTTCTTTTTATTCATGCCTTTAAGAATTTGAGAACAACACAATTCATTATTCTGTAAATGAATTCGGATTGCTAGTATCATCATTATACAAAAATACTCAATTTTGCAGATACGGAAACACAGCAGGAGGAATTGAGTGGTGAACCAGGGTCATACATGAAATCCCCAATGTGTTGGTGCTGGAGCTCACCCTAGGTCGGGGGTGGCTCCGTGTGGTGGAAAAATCTCTCCTCCAACCCGTGCTTTCAAAAAAAAGCTCAATAGTCTTTTGTTGTTTGGTCTCAAGGCAGCTTATAGCAAGCTATCTAAAAATTGTCTTTGCAGGCTGCTGTGGTTTGCTCAGCAGCTCAGGCAGAGGCACACACACCCCTGACACCCTCTCTGTCTGGTGTCTTCTTCTCTCTCCCCACCCAGGGCTGGTGCTATTTTTATATGGTACATTACGTGTTAAATGTTTATAATTTTTCCCCAATGCCTATTACCTATATTAAATGGTGTCTTTCTACTCTAAACCAATATATGAGTGCCAGCATCACCAAGAACATGGAGGTAAGGAAGAAGAAAGAGGGAGGACAGGACAGGCTCAAATCCCTCCATCTTAAAACTTCTGACCCCCATGTACAAAACCAAAACCCCCCCCTGTGCAGGACTTAAACCCCCCCTGTACGGCACTCAAAAATTCTTCCCTTTACTTTGTGACTACTTCTACTACAATATCTAAACTTTTGTGAGTTCTTGTTCTTCCTGCAAGGTTGGTAAATCATTCCATGGTTCAAATCCATGTTTCCAGCAGCTGTTTCCAGCTGCCTGCCAGGGTCTCAAATGCTTCTGACCTGGACCCGGAACATCCAAAAATGTCTGAGGGACATTTTGAGTTCCGACATGTTGGCAATTCATCCCACAGCAAATGCTTTGCTGTAGACAGCATGTAGTGAAAGGAGAGCTTGGTTTCATATGAAAATTTTGAAAGGAACCCTATGTAGGAGAAGATATTGTGTGGCTGTGTTGAAAAAGATGAGACAAACTTGTGTTTTCCTCACAGGAGGCATTAGTCATAGATTGGCATTTCTGATAATTAAGAACCTACAAGTTAGGTATTTTTCCTGGAGATCTCTATTCATGTGTAAATTCTTCTGTCAATCACATTGGTTGATACATGGAACAGCTTGCTTGTTGGTCTTGTATATGACCTAATGGAAAGATCTCTTACCTCTAAGCAAGCTTGGCATTATAGAACACGTAGGTTTACTCTGAATTTAATAATATAAAAATTGCCATTCTGGCAATTATATGCATATAAAAGAATATATCTATATGCATATAATTAAATGCATATAAAAACAAGTCAATGTCCAGCAAGCGCACCCTGGCTACAAAAGAAAATTTCTCTAAGGTTAGTAATGTAACTTTTAAATCTCTTCCTCATGCCTCCCTTAAAATTTAAGTTAGTGTTTTGTAATACGGTGTATCATGAAAACATCCGGATCAAGCCCCATCTTTGTCATAAGTGGACTTTTTACATGGTTCCTATTCTGCTCAAAAAAATAAAAATCCAAAAAACTCCAACATTCTAACAAGTCTATTAGGTAATCAGCTTAACCTTTCCCAAGAAACAGACTGGGTCCAAAGCCTGGCTTGTCCTCATTCATAATAAATATGTAAATTAATCAATTCTCATGGTGGTCACAGAGCTGATAAAGGTTTTGCTCAGCAAAACAAACAAGCATGAAGTATATTTTATTCCAGAAGCATTTTCCTGTTGAACCTTCAGGAGTCACTAGCTTAGCTGTGTATACTGTGAGGTCTTACAGGTGCCAGCAGAGTTTATTGATTCCCTTCTAAAGAAGCCATCAATCCAAAATCTTAAATATATTTTTAATTAATTAAAGTTATAATGAGTTGATCGTAAGGTTATCTCTGAGTGGGTTTTGAGTAGCTTTCTCAGTTTATCCTTCAGAGGTGAAAAAACTTCTGCCTAAAATTACTAGTATTTGATGAACGGTACAAGGAAATTTGCTGCTGGCTGAGTCTTGGATGGGAAGAGAAGGGAAAACAGTGCTACAGGAAATTCTTATCCATCCTAGCTGGAAAACAAAGGAGATAATGGAGTGCAATAACCAATAATGTTAAATCAAAAGAACAGCAAGATGATACATGGAACCCCAAACCTCTATAGAACTGGAATGACTTTTGCAACTCTCCATCCCTGCCCAAATCATATTGCTAATTAAACTGCATGCATGGGCTAATAATGCGGTGCTCCTGTAAGAAAATGTGACCTTTTAATGTGCATTTATGCATTACAGCACCAGGACATTGTCATCAGTTCTGACAGCCCTCTGTGACCTTTTTTCTTTTCCTTTTTGCTTCCTCCCAGACAAGTCTATAATTCTTTTTGTACTAGCTGTCTGTTGGTATTCTTGTGATTTGTCTGCCCTATTGGTTCATTACAACCTATGTGGCTTTCCATGTGCTAGACATCAATAAAGCATGCTTGATCAAACCTGTGGAGAGCCCCAGAGGACCCTCTGAAGTTTCATGAACACTGATACAGACTTTCATCTTACACATTAATAATTTTCTAACTGATGTTGGTTTTGTTTTCCTAGCAATACACCTGGAACCTTTCTGTACTGTTGTGATTTTGCTTCAGGAGCAGTGGAGCTGGTAAAGGTAATTCATGCACTCGCTTTAGAGTACCTTACAAGCTTGTAATTCAGGAGGCTGCCAGGAAGCCATCTTCATGAAAAAGAATGTGATGGCTTTGACAACTTTTAACTGAAGTTTTCAATATTTCAAAGAACAAAGTCATACTGTATGCAGGGAGGAATGAATACCATCAGTGAGCTTGCTTCTCAGCTTGAGTAAGATACTGGACAGAATAGGTTTTTATATGAGATGTTTTACAATGCAGAATAATTGAAGAAAAAAATGTTTCTTGAGTCACAGTAAACGTATTAACTACTACTGTTCTCTCTGTGCCTCTTTTCATCTTTTTCCTGACAGTCACATTCGTCCTATAATTCAGCCTGGTGTTCTGCCTTTGTTCATGATGTGTGTGATGATGCTTTACCCTATCCTTTTCCAGATGAGATCCTGGATGTCATTCTCCTTGTCTTTGTGCTCTCTACTATTCATCCTGACAGGTAAATGAAGACTAAAGGGCAAAGCAAATGGTTCAATCTCTTTTTTAACTGAAGGTTTTCAATAATAGCAAAAGAAGATGATGAATCTTTGCTATTTAATAAGCTACAGCATATATAAGGTATTTTAAATTATGTTTACCATTTTCAGGCTTCAAGAGAAAAGCTGGTCAGGCTAATTATAATTAGTGAGTCTCCAGTCTCCAACAAAATACAAGAGATATATTGTAACTAAGTACATCTCTAGTAGAAGTGACAGATTCAAAAAAAGGCAAATTAAAAAACCAGATTGACAGTCTTCTAGAAAGTTGTTATTTTTAGTGATCAAAAGCAAACATGCATGATTTAACACCTTACAATATTCTGATATGGACTTAGATTATTGATTTAACCACATTCAAATGCTTACATGCAGCCCTTTTAAACTAAAATGCATCTATAATTTTGTAACTTGTTTGGATTATGAACATTTGATTGAATTTTCATGTATGGTGTTGAGTACTGTTAGCCTTTGCTAGTGCCTCTTGATGTCTAATGAACCAAATTTTATGGCTTAAGGTTGGCTGATTGTGAACATGACCTTTTTTAATACAAAAAATGTAAAAGAGGGCATGTAAGTTAAATTTCTTGACTCTAACTAGGTTATAAGAAGGGAAATACAAGCTGTTTGTGTGATAATACATTTATTACTTCAAGAATGTCATTAAAATGGGTTTGGTGTACAGAACAGTATTTGCCTGAGAACTGTTTCCCTGCTACTAGTGATTAGCTTTATACAGAAATCTTTCCTGTACAGGATATTTCTCCTTTCTGTTTATTCAGAGATGAGCACAAGTCACACAAAGCCAGGGTCCAAGTTTCAAAAGCAGTTAAATCAGGAGACTTCAGATCTCTGTAACTCCAGTGATGCTCCCAGGAAGAAATTGGACAACAGTGCTTCATTCAGTCACTGTGCCTGCATAAGCAGTAATTAGATGTTCTGTCGGAATTTCTGTGAACTTTTCCTATTAGTCTCTTAAGAATACATTTGAGGTTTTTGTGGTTGATTTTCTGTTTTGTTTGTTTTCTTTTTGTTGTTTGGTTTTTGGGGGTTTTTTTTGGAGAGGAGTAGGTTGTCATTTTTGGTTTGGTTTGGGTGTTTTTTCCCCAGGGCTGACATGGATGCTTTTGTGTGCGTGTGTGTGTATACACACAGAGAGATTTTCATGTAATTATTTGTGTTTTGAGACCCACTTTCAGAAGATGTCTTAGTCATTGCTGCCATCTCATAAAATTAAAATTACTGCATAAAGGAAAATGTCATTTTGCTCAGTATACATTTTTTTTCTGGAAACTTTCAAAGTGGGAAGTGAAAAAGAAAACCAAGGGAACCATGGTGCAGAACTTAGGTACTTTGAAAAGATGGAAAATAGGTGTGAGAGGGAGACATTTGTACTCAGAAAATTGTTACTTAGTAATTTCTCTCTAGGCTGTTGTGTTTAGTTTTTGATAATTGCTACTCTTGTAGTCAATTTTTAACACACTTCAATTCTGCTAGAAGGCACCTCTAAAGTTTGGTTGCAGAATTGGAAGTATTAGACTTTCTTCAAGCTGTATAATTAACGCCTTCTAGTTCTGCTGGATCAAATTTCTCAAAGCACTTTCATTTTCTGTGCACATAAACTTCTTTCTGTGTGTGCAAAACTTCCATTTATATAGACAAGGCTGTAATTCTGTGCACAACTACTGAACAGTCTCTTATTCTTAGGTGGTGCTGCCTTTTTGGTCTATGGCAGCAAACTTGATTCCTTATGTTTGCAATCTTCACCAGCATCTCATCTATTCTCTAAGGATGCAAGGGGTTGTAAATAGGTTGGCTAAGCTACTGAAGCCTGGAGGAATGCTGTTATTTCGAGACTACGGGAGATATGACACAGCTCAACTTCGTTTTAAAGAAGGTAATTCCTGAATGGTTTTGTATTTCACTGTTCATTTCAGCTCTTTTTGGAAACAAAACGTGACATGTCCTTTTTCATTACTGCTCTTATTTCTTAGGTCATTGCTTGTCAGAAAATTTTTATGTAAGAGGAGATGGAACCAGAGTGTATTTCTTTACCAAAGGTATGGAATGTTATAGTTCCATAGAATGGGTTGAGTGTTTCTCAAAGTGATTTGGATTATGAAAGCTCATCTTAAAACATAAATTTAAAGAAGGTTTTATTGGCTTAAAAAAAATATTCTCTGCTTTTAAAAAGCGCAAAGCTAACTGTTGTAAGAAAATAATTTCCTTTGTATGCACACTTGTTGCATTTGGGGTCCTGCAAGGTTGCTTACAGACATCACTGGATATTTCTCTTTAAGTATCCTGTGTGTAATTGTATGCTCAAATTTTATTATTTAAACTTGCACATGACTTCTCTGTTGAAATTGAGGTAAACATGCTTGGAAGGAGATGGCATATGGCATCATATATGGCATATATATGGCATAAAAGTCTGGATTGTCATTTGTCAGGGGAAGTAGCTTTATCTTGATAATGCATGAACAGTAACCAAATGACATGCATTTGTTTACTCAACTGTGGCATCTTGAACCCTGTGAAGAAAGGGTGTATATGGATGCTGTAAGTAATAAATAATGTTGTTTGGGCCTCAACATAATGGTTTTTACTGCAATATAAATCAAGAGCCATGAAAATGAATTTCTAACAAAAGCCTTATTACAGGCAGTGTCCTTTAGCTTTCAAATTGCAAAGCAGATTTACTTCCATCTTCCATTGAACTACAGGTTGGTAATGACTAAATTCTAGAAATTACTTTTTTCTTTTTTAATTGCAATAATTCTTCATATGAAAAAATAGATGAGGTATGGAACATGTTCACCGTGGCTGGATTAACTGAAGTACAGAATTTAGTTGATCGGCGATTACAAGTAAACAGAAAGAAAAAAGTGAAAATGCAGCGAGTTTGGATACAAAGCAAGTTCCAGAAACCATTGCTATCTCTGCATAATCCTGAAGAAAGCACCAAAAGGCGCCCTTGTAAATAAGTGTACTCCAGAAATGCAGTACAAAATTGAACTTCGGAAACTGAAGCAAATTTAAGTATGTGTATTTTCAGTAAATGTTGTGTTAGCTGCTGAAAAGTATAAAAAAGTTCAATAAATGTATTGAACTGAAAACCTTTCTCTGAATTTATTTTTTTTTCTATATACATACGTGTGAGAAAAATCTGGGGGGAAATAAAGGCCATTTCTGACTTCTGCTTTATATGCAATAATCTTTTCATAACTGTGACCAGGCATTATTTTGCTCCCTTGAATATGAATGGTCAATAAGTATATACTTCGTTTGTGTTGAAATTCATAGTATGTAAAAAGCTTAGTCTGAAGCATAATAGTTTCAGAGATTTAGAGAAACGGAGTATCTGTTCTCACTATTACTACAGGCTGCACTGTGTTAATTTCTGAGTCACATCCTTTTCAATCATTGTGTCTTACGACTGTATTTCCCCTTTGGAGGGAAATTTCTGACTGCATAAATAATGAATACAAAAGTATTATTTTTCTGGTTTGCATGTAGCTATCATTTCACACTAACTGCATGTGATAGGTATATATATCAGATTACTCAGTGATTTTTTTGTCCTCCACTGTGACTGATTTATTATGCTGTCTCCACTTTTCATCTACATGCTCATAAGGAACATGCCAAATTCAAATACATGCATTACATTTAAAGTGCTCTAGGTTGTAAATGGAACATGTTTCATGTAGAAAACCATTACCAAAATGCCAAAACAGTTCTGAAACCAAGTAGTTAATATTGGATAGTTGTCTGGATAAATACAAACATTATTTTTACGATATGTTAGATATGCTAGAGGAAGAAGCAAAACCAGTAGTCCTAAATACATTTTATTAATAGTGTTATGGGGTAATGTAATCACAGTATTGAATGAATGGTAATTTACCTGGCAGCTGAGATATTTTTGTTGTTTGCAAAAAGAAATTGCTTTCTTAGGGATTCTATATTAGAAAGAAAAAACACAGTGGTTTTTATTGACTGGGTAGGGATACAGTAAAGGACAGGACTAGTCCTGTCCTTTAGTACTTCAAATTATTTTAAGCAGAAAAGTGAACTGCAAGCACTGTTTTCAAATGCAGAACATGATCCTGAGGCTGTTGAGCTCATATTTAAAGATTCCACTATGCCACTTTGCTATTTAAATGTAATTTTAAATCACTTTGCCACAAGGAGGAGAGAACAAGAAACAGGTGAATGAATAAAATAAATCTCTATTTAAACAAGAGTGTGGGATGCATGTTATCTATAACATGTAGTTTTGAGTGCCATTAATACAGTGACACTCAAAATCTCTTTTGTTACTTTTGTTTTAGGCTGAAGGGTAGACATGTCACAGCTCATCTTTTTGCAAGTTGTTAGTTGCTAAGCTAAGGAGGACTGGTGGTCTTCTAGGAAGAAAACCCTAAATTATCTAAATGGGGATGCCAAATATCTTCATCCCCTTTAACCCAGATGTCTTTCAAGAATGAGGTGCAGTAAGGGGTCTGATCCTGTATTTTTGATTTATTTGAAGCTCCCATTAGAGGAAGATACTGTTTTATGAATTAAGAGGCTTAGGGTAGCTTTGGTTAGCAATAGCATTAGTGTAAACTGCAATAAAACTGGTAGTATAAATCAAAGGTTAAAACAGCTGTGTTTCTTAAAGCCCTAAGAGATTGTAGCATCCTCATGGAAAATATAAATAAATGTCTCCTTATATTTTAAATATGTTGCTGTTCTGTTTTATTAATTGTGACTTCTGAATACACATAGCTCTTAGCTAGCACAAATCATTTTCACTTGTAGAATTTCCCAGGGAAGCGATGATGATAAGTTCTTGAGCATTGTGTAGTCTTATTCATGTGTGTGATGTAAATTTTCCATTTGTAGAGGCTAACGTAATGTTTGCTTTGGCACTCATGAGGATGTATTGATTCTGGCAAGATTTTAATATGCTATGTTGTTAGTTAAACAAAAGTGTGACATCACAAATAACAAACCCTGAATTTTGAATGGCCTTAAGCAAAATCAGCTGTTTCTCTTGCACAATTTACAGTGCAAGTATTGGCTGCCTCTTTTAAAATAATAGTGCCTGATTTGGAAGTAGTAAGATCAGCTACTATTTTTAGTGTAAGATTCACAGAAGGGGATATGGAAAAAGGCATCATTCCCAATAAGAACTTCTGAAACTTAGTAGCACTTTCTGTTTTTTGGCTTTATGACATTTCAGTTTTCAAAAAGCTTAATCAAAAACATGTTTTTAAAACACTTTCAAATTATCTGTATTAAACAGAAACGACTACTGAAATAAAAGAAGAAAAAGAGATGCAGACGTCTATATAGGAAAGGCAGTTTAAACCAGCTTATTGTTAGTTAATTTCTGGAGGAAAGAAAAACTAGTTTTTTAATATAGAAAAATGCACTTAAGTTTTACTTTTGACATAGGAAGTTGATTCTTTAATCAGATGTTCACCTAAATTAATTTCATTCTATAAACACTAAACATTTTAGTTTGTAATTACAATTTTTCTTTCATTTTTGTGGAATTTTATTTGGTTGTTTCAAGCATGGCTTCCTAATGGAAATTAGAGAAAGGTAGTCTTGTTAGAACTGAGCTTCAGTTTCATTGGCCTTGGCTTGTTTTATGAATACCTTGTATTTTTTGGCCAGATGTACATGAGCAAAACATATATGGTATTTACTGGTTTATGCCTTGCTTAGTTTTTAAGCAAGTGTGAGGCAGTTAAAAAGTAAAGAAAATGACCAACTTTTTTTCCTACACTAATTTTGAAGTATCTAGTCAATAGCAATTGGCTCATACAAAAAAATTTGCCTTTTTCTTAGTAAAACCAAGGCTAAGGAAAAGGCTTAGAATGTGGCTTTTGCCACATTCACAAATCCACTGAATCTGAAGAGGACAGCCAAATGCAGGTGTGATGAGGAGGAACTGTAGGAACACTAGGGAAAAGTTTATTGTCTTGGAAACTGTAAAGCTAATCTGATTCTGCTAGTTTATAATGACAAAAAAGTTATAGTAAACAACCACAATATTTGTATTAAACAGTGGTGGAAATCACTAGCAGGAATTCTGCTACTTCATTTTCATTCATGATGTGATCTTTATTCACTGTTCCAGTGTGCTCTTTGATCTGCTGACATATGGTTTGCTTCCTCTTTTTCCTGTGTGTAGTGGACAGCTGAGCATTTTCCTAAGGAGATATATACACAAATATTTGCAGTCAAGTTGGCTGGCTGAGTTATTGTTAGAATTAAAAAAGGGGAGATTTTTTTCTTTCTGTACAGATTGCTTTTTCCTTTTGTGTGAATGCAATGAATTGTATAGATGCTAAATTATATACAGTGGTGGTGACTGCATTTTTTAATAATTTTAAGTCAAGTGTTAGAGAATCATAGAATGGTTTGGGTTGGAAGAGCCTTAAAGATCATCTAGTACCAACCCCTCTGCTGCAGGCAAGGACACCTTCCACTAGACCAGATTGCTCAAAGTTCCACCCAGCTTGTCCTTGAATAAGGGTATATTGTCTATCATGTATATATATGTATGTATATCATGTATAAGCCATTTCTTCTCCATAGAGCATCTTCATAATGGGTGGTTGAACAACCTTGGAAATGAAACATGTATACGTGCTGCAAAAATATTAAAAACTGCTATTGTTAATAATAGTTCACTTTGCATTTCAGTATTTGTATACTTCTCTCCATGTTTGGAACAAGGATTGGACATGAGGGTTTTTTTACATCAGTTATGTGCCAGTTCCCCTTCTCTTAAGAATCATCCAGAATTTGGACGAGGTAAGTCTCCTATAGGCAGTTGCCCTTTGTATGTAGTCAGTAAGAGCTACATGGGTTGCCATGGGCATCTTAGCAGGTTCTTCATCTACCTGTGCCTCCTGGCATGCAGGTCATGCCTGGACTGGGCTTTGAGCTGAGAAGGAAACTTCTCTGTTCAGTGACCATCCTTCACCTCTTGCTAGTACCAAGCAACTAAAAGGAGAATTTGCCTGATTTGAAAGCAAGAGAGGAGAAAGATGAAGATGCAGCTCAAAGGCAGGCAAGAGAGGGAGTGAGTGTTTCCTCTAGGAGCTAGGGTGAGAAGCAGTCTTGGAGAGATTGACCAAGAAAAATGAGATGCACAATAGGGAACTGAGGAACAGCACACAGTGGATACAGTTTATGGAGAAGATTTGTAACAGGATACAGTGGGGCAGGGTGAGGACCTTGGGCCTAGAAATAAATGAAATGAAATTAATTAATTTAATTATTTAAATTAAAAAATAGAGGGGGCAAGAAGAGAAAGGGAACTATTTGTCACAAAAATAGGGTGAAATCTGGGTAAGCAAAGCAATTGGTATAAGGACTGGATGTAGAAAGGCCTATCTTCAAAGTTTTTATTCTCCCAAATGGTAATGTATTTCACATCTTAGTGGAATATTACAGGCTTTCTCTTTCATCCATATGTGCACAATGCATTTCAATATATTAAAAAGATTGAATGTTTCATTTGTTGTAGTTTGTATGTGCTACGCACATGTTTTCAGCAGTGCAGGCAAGTGTGTGATACACCTGCTTTTGCTTTCTCCTTAGGGAACAATGTTTTTACCTTTTTTTCAACTAGAATCCTTTAGTGACAGAAGCTAAATTCCTATCCTCCTGGGAAGCAAATACCAGAGAATAACAGAAGTGTCTGTATCCTGATTGTGTGCAATCAAGGTAGAACAATTAAATTTACTCCATGTGTTCTGATGATGTCCCATTTAAATCAAGACAATATCTGCAGATTATTACTGTGAAGAGCCTCCCAATATCAGTTTCTGTTATATTTGCATCTGTTCAACAGAACTTATAATGAATTTGTATAAACTAGAAATAAAACTTTAAAAAAATAGCAGAACAGGCTTCATCTGGGATCACAGCAATTTAGAGATGGAATATGTTTTGTTATTTTAAAACACTGACGGTTGCAGAGGAGCACTTATCCAAGAGACTGAAAATTTTGCTTATTTGAGGTATAATGTATGTCAAGAATATTAAAGCTAATATCCATGTTTTGAAGCTTTGTATACTTAATGTTAGCTAAAGCTATCTTGTCAATTGCTGCTGTGAAAAAGGAGTTAGCAACTATTTTCAGAGGCTATTTTATTGATCGGGTTGCTACAATTTTGAAGGGAA